AGGAATGGATAAGATGAGATATTACGTAGGGAGGGCGTAATAGAATTTGTCACCTTGGCACGGCTAGTTAATTCGAACTAATAACTATTTACTTACTCTTACAAAATACAAATACAAACCGGGACGAGCGTAGCCCGAAAAAAACAATTTATTAATTAGCCTAATTAACCTGCAATGCCAGGGCAGGGTTAAACCGCGACAACAAGGAAAGTGTCCCCGAAATTTTATCAAAGCTTTGAAGTCCCAGAGTTCTATGGAAGAGAAAGAATTATCAGAATCTTCAATATCATAATCAACTTATGCTTTACGAAATAAAAATTGTTAAACAGAGAACATAATCATTCCAAAAATGTGAAGTTAAAATACGAGAAATCAATAATAATTCATCCATTCAACAAAACATATTCAAGATATACATTGAAAAATTCATAAACACTAAAAATGCATCGATTTTATCGATCGACATATCAAAAGAGAGAGAATAACGCGCAGGATTCAATAATAATGTCATTCAAATTCCACAATTGTCAACATTGTTAATAATAACAGTAATGTGAAATACTCAAAAGCGAATATATAATGATGTATATAGTTCCTAATGCATTGAACAAAGATAACTATAGGTAATCTCTCTCACACTTGTACACTGCGCTTGGAGCAGAATGAAGAGGTGGAACTATCGCCTCCCACTTAGGATACCAGAATCCTATTGGTACCCCTACTGTGTTGCGGACGGGCCTGCGCAGCGAAACGCAAGACGACTTCCTTAAGTTCTCGTCAAATTTGTCTCAAACTTCATTATTAATTTCCCTATGAGTCGTAGAAAATAAATGTATTATTTTCCACGGAAAATTCGGGGGAATACGTAATAGAGAAAAAAAAATGGTGCTAAGTGTGGGGTTATTTCGCTTATTTCGTAACTTTCTTTCAGCGTTTTTGAATTCGCAAAATTTTCACCATGTCTAGTAGAAGCACCGCATAGATTAATCACAAATTTGCCAAATTAATCCCTCATTAAGGATCTTTCAATTTTCCCAATTCAAGAAGTATATAGGAAGACAATTTGACCAAAATGGATTCCGATAAACCTCAAGTCACTGTAACGAGCATCGGGGATGCCCGTTTGTATCCCCAGCTAAAACTAATAACGAGAGAGAGAGAGCGTGCGAGGATAGGGAGTTAAGGGTAGGTAAAAATTATGATTATTCTCCCCCTTCGGGGTGGTTCGGGGATTTTAGGGTTAAGGTTGAGGCAAGCCCTAGGGTTATTTTAGGTCCGGCCCCAAAGCCGGCGCTCCAAAGGAAAGGGTTCCTGAGGGTTAGTTGGTACGGGTGGAAGGCCGTCTGGGATAGAATTAATCATCGTCCCGACGGAGTGCCAACAATTTTAAAATTAAGTGTCGGTGGAAGGCCGCACGGGGTAAATCCAGCCCTTACCTCGGCGGAGTGCCAATAAATAAATAAAATTACGGGTTAGTGAAATAATTTAATACGTTTACGGTTAGTGATTTAGGTCTTCTAACCCCAGGAATCCAGGAGGAACAACCGAGAGAAAAATACCGCGGAAAGAAAAATTTCTGGTAATGAGAATTAATTCAAATTTGAATTAATTTTCCCGCGAAGGGCTTGACCCAGAATAAGGTAGAGGGATCCACCAATCGACACCCGATC